TCCTGAATGGTTTTGCCTAGATTTTCTTCTAGGGTTTTTATGGTGTTAGGTATTACATTTAAGTCTTTAATCCATCTGGAGTTAATTTTAGTGTAAGGCGTCAGGAAGGGGTCCAGTTTCTGCTTTCTGCACATGGCTAGCCAGTTTTCCCAACACCATTTATTAAACAGGGAATCCTTTTTCCCCACTGTTTGTTTTTGTCAGGTTTGTCAAAGATCAGAATGGACAAGCTTTTTAAGTTATTTACTTTCATCAGTTACATATGCAGTTTTAAAAGTCAAATGGCTGTATGGTCTGTTATAAAATCAGCGGGCCTTGCCATTCTCCCTTCCCCAGAGCCAATCACTTTCACCTCTTTTGATTATTTTGGCGATGATTATAATTACCTTAAATAACATGCTTCTAGACTATGTTAAAAACAGCTTCCTGTTTCTCAATTTGCTTAGTTTTTTATACATGTATCCCTAACTTTCTGACCAATATCCAAATCTCTTTTCCTATCAATTTTCATCTTTCTACAGCCGTCTCTCATGCAACCTTCTGATCTGTCCCAATCTGGACTAGCTGTCCTCCCTGGATCATCACTCCCTTGTGACAGATCTCCTATTTCCTAGGTCCCATGTCTTTCTCTTTCTTGGTTTATTCCTTTGCTATGCTTAAGAACATCCTCCAACAGTTCCCTAAGAAATGGTGTGAAGAACCTACTTTTAAAAAAAAAAAAAAAAAAAAGTCTCTATTCTTACTCTCACACTTGACTATATATAGAATTCTAAGATGAAAATCCTTTTTATAAACTCCCATAGCTGTTGACTTAGAAAATAATTTTAAAGGCACTGTTCTAGTCTTCTAGTGTTACTGTTGAATACTTTGAAAACATTCTGATTTCTAATGCTTTGATAAGCATTTGAAACCTGTTTCTCTCTCTAGAGCTTATCTCTTCTGGTCTCAGTGTTTGATATAAAAGTTCACAGGATATATCTTGATATGAATTCCTTTTCACTCATTTACTGGGTAGGCCCATTTAGTCTGGAAACTCGATTCTTCAGTTAAAGGAAATTTTCTTGAGTGATTTCATCCTCTCAGTTTTCATCTATTTTCTTTCCATAACTCCTATTATTTGAATATTGAACCTCCTAGAAAAATCTCTAATTTTTTCTACCTTTTTCAATCTTTTTACTCTAGATTTTGGGAGATTTCCTCAACTATCTTTCAAAAGTGAAAAACATAAGCTTTTTACATTTTTCACTTTTGCTCTTATAATTTTGTTTGCAGTATGCTATTTTTTAAAACAGCATCCTGGTCGTCTTTCATGTTTACAGTATATGCTTTTCTTCTGAAGTTTATTTCTCCCTACCTGGCCTCTGTATCTCCAAGTTGCTTTCTCTTTTGTGA